ATATTTGAGATTCAAAGATCCTTTCAGCCATTTCTTGGATGCGTTTTGATGTTGCAGGTTATAAAATGCCTCCATCTGTTTATTACATCTCAAAGTGAACATCACCAAAAGGAAATGACACCAGATCAAACAAAGATAGAAATCTTGTTACACTGGATCTTTGATATGTCATGGGCTAAGAGACATTAATGATTGAAACATAATTCTAGGGGAAATCTATTTATTTTGGCACACATTAAGAAGAACTGTCTAACAACAAAAGGAGGAAGAGAGTACCTCTTTCATCATGGAGCCAGGGTTTGGCATTGTGGAAATAGAGCATAATTACTTGGGATTGAGGGCAAATAATTTGTTGCTAATGTTCACACTGATGTACTAAAAGGGTCATCTGGCAGTGAGAACAAAAAGGCTGTACCTATTTTGCTTCTTTGGAGCAGGAAATTAAAAAATCAGGTCTCTTGCTAGAAGTTGAACGAGCACCTGAGACTAAATATGGTTCCAAACCAGACACTCAGTATAGTTTTGGTTGCAAGAGGTATATATCCTAAATTGTCAGTATTAGAGACATAAGAAAGTTACATGTATTGGCTACTACAATTCATTCATTCATTTGCAGCATTTCTATTCTGCCCTTCTCACCCCAAATGGGATTCAGGGCAGATCACAGAACACATACATGGCAAACATTTAGTGCCAATAAACAGACAGGACAGACAATAGACGGAGGTATTATGTTGGCATTTATCCCAACTTCGGTGTCATGGAGGTTGTGCTTGATTCTGGCCACAGGGGGGTACTGTCACTCCATCCTCTATGACGAAGAGCCTTGATCACAGACCTCCTTCTTCCTTTGATCACCGGCATTTTTCTGGTATTTGTTTTATGGTGCCATAAAATACCTCTCCGCTTAAGTGGTGCCTAATTTCTCTACTGCTTTTCGAACTGCTTAGGTGGACAGTAAGCTGGGCTGAAGGTCAACTGCTCACCTCGACCTGGACTTCGAACTGCCAGCCTTTCTGGTTGGTAAGATCTATTGCTGCTGTGCTAAAGCCCAGCCCTCATGCAATTTCAGTGGGTGAAGTATTATTACTGGGATTGGAGCATGTGGCAATAAGGGCACTGTGCATTTATATATGCCTCCAGGTTGACTGTTGATTTATGGTGACTCCATTAATTTTATAGAGGTTTCTTAGTCAAGGAATACTCAGAAGGAGTTTTGCCACTTCCTTCCTTCCTCTGAAATATAGACCTGAGCTTTCCAAACTGTGTGTCGGAACACACTAATGTGTTGCTGGCAGTCCACAGGTGTGTCGCGGGAAAAGTGCTGCTTCCCTTCTCTGTTTCCACAAAGATGGCCTGACGAGGGAGTACATTGACTGCTCTTGGAGGAGGAGGAGAGTGAGGAGGAAGAGGTCCCCTAAAGGACATCTAGTCCATCCCCTTCCAGCCAGACAGAAATTCAGTCAAAGCCCTCCCGATGGCAATTTCAGCCTCTATTAAAAAACAAAACAAAAAACAGAAAGGGTTAATCACTACAGAAGTGGAGTGCTAGTGCTGTTCAAGTGTCAGTACCAGTGTGACTTTTATAATTTGCACAAATGGTTGATTCAGTTGCAGTAATGACCATTAAAATGGACATGTTTCTAATTAAGAAAAGAAAACCTGTTGACAATTATGTGTGCGATGAACCACATGGAGCGGCTATAGAGAAAATCACACAAGAATCGACTGTGGTACATAAGAAGTGAAAAGGAAACAATTCCAAACCTTGTTTATAGATTAAAGATCACATTTAGTGTGTGTGGGTGTGTGTGTATGAATGAAACTCTTATAAGGGGTTGGTTTAGCCCCGGGTTTGCTGCTAAAACTGAATTACTGTGTTGCAAAAGGATGTATATCTAAAAATCATGTCACCAACATGAAACATTTGGAAAGCTATCATGTACTTTTAGTCCTTGACTTACAAACGACTCATAATTAAGACAACAGGAAGTGAGAGAAATCAGGGAAATTCAGTCCTGGAAGTTATCATGGGCAAAAGTTATCACCACTGAAGCTTTCTCACCAATTCTTGTTTCCACAACAAGCCAGATTTTTCAAAATCCAGTTATGAATAGCTCTCCCATGGCCGTAATTTAAAATGCACACTCTTCACAAAGATGTAACTAACTGTGGCATGTTCAGCAAAGTATATAGGTTATTGCTTTATCTACTTCATTTTGAGACCATAATGATTTTCAGAAACTGAAATGAATGGCTTCGTCTGTCACGGATAAATGAATTAAACATTCATACTACGCTTATTAATTAATTAAGCTACAATGAGCATTGAGAAGAATATTAATAATTAAGAGGTAAAACTTCTACAGTATATATAGTTTTACTAGGAAGCATATGTGAATTTTGAAGTTAGTAGTCATTCAAGTATTCAGAATGTCTGCTGGCAAAAATCACATTTACCATACATGGTGAGGAAGTTGAATCATGGTGAGCATTTAGAACAAGAGCAGGCTTATCACAACAGCAATAACATTCGTATTGCAAAATAGTTCCTATCTGGATCCATGGGAAGATTTTATTCTCTTTCTGATACATTTCTAGTTTGGGGGTTCCAGCTAACAATTGAATCCTTCCTCCCAGCCTCAGATGCCACTGAGAGCACCTTTTCCTTATTTGGTAAAGAGCACAAAAGGGATTTTCAACATTGAGTCATAATGCAACTTGGCTCATTTGTAATCAGCAAGGTATTATCAGTGGGAACCTAGGGATTTGTGGTTTGTCATCTTTAAAAACACAAGTAAATGCTATGCTTCCAGCTATAGCATGCTGCGGAGATGACATGCCAAAGTGGGGGAAATCTTGCATATTTTTGAAAGTAGAAATCATTTGTGAGAAAGCATTTTGATGCCATCGCCATTCATTTATAACAGGGACTTCTATTGTGGTGGTACAAGATCCCTATGCATATTTATATTACTGAATAATCCAGCTATGTTTTTGAATTCTATTTTTGTGTTAGTTAAGGAAGATTCAAGCTAATCTACAGGTTCATACGCCATAGCTTGATTTATAAAAATGTACTTTTTCATTACTTTGACATCTTTTCAAATATTTAAAAATGGCTATCATGTCCCCTCATAATTTTATTTTCTCCAACAAAATATACCCAGCTTCCTAAGCTGCTGCTGGAATGATGGCACTGCCAGGTGCTCAGTTGGGCCATGTTGTTGTTGTTGTTGTTGTTGTTGTTGTTATTGTTATTTCTGACTCCAGGGTTGTTCCATATATACATTTGGGATGTACTTCACCAGAACTTCTACTATTGTTCTTATATGTCCATAGCATATTTCATTCAATGATTGTGACAATTTTATGTAACTGTAATGTTCAGCACTAAATCATATTTTTTCATTACTGTAGTTTCAAAGGATTAGATACAGACATGTAATCCTATTATAGTAATAGACTTTGGGATGTCAAAATAGATTTTCGGTGTAATTTCAAAATCTATTAACTGCATTAACCTAAATTAGCATGCAGCTTTATTGTATTAATTTCATCCTGGAAAAAAAGGCAGATATAAAATCAATCAATTAATAATCAGCAAAGAATGTATACCTACTTTTCCATAGTTGGTAACAAATCATGTTTTCAGGTCTTGGTGTGGTGCAGTCTTCATATAAAGAATGCGTAAGTTGTTACTCCCCCATTTCTAAAATGTATAGCCCCTTTAATTACCACACTCGCATGATATGTGGAAGTTATAGAATAAACTGGCGAGAAGGATACCATAAAATAGAAGAAACCATAAAGCACTACCACAGAAATCATTTTCATCTAAATTCTTAATGCAGCCAGACCTAAACTGCACTCCATCTGAAGAAAAAGCAATTTTCTAAACTTTACTGGGCACAGACCATAGAAGGTCATTGATGAGCACATAATGTTTCCAGACAGGCTTAACTCCATGAGAAAATACGATAAATCACTGTTTAATATGGATTTCCCATTATCAGTCAGATTCTCACAGGACCATATGTGATGAAATTACACAGTGATCCTGTTGACATTGAAAAGCAGAAGTGACTGACTCTTCTGGTTTCTTTGCAGTGGCTTTTACACAAGACCAATGTAAAGCAATTCAATCCTGGAAATGCCTAGCATATAAGTCACTGTGGCTTGCAATAGATGTCCTTGTGTGACCATTATTAGCAACTAATCTAATTCCTAATTGGAAAATAAAAATCTCTGCTACAGTACAGTGTTTCCTCACTTATCGTGGGGGGTCTGTTCCGTTTAATATTGATACATTTCAGTGGCTTCTCTATGTAGTCTGACATGGTAGTTGTTAGAGTGGTCCAGCATTTCCGTGTTCTCAAATAATATGCTGTGTCCAGGTTGAAAATGAACAAAATCTGTCTACCAGTATTTAAAAAACTCCAAAATCATAATAGTAAATAAAGAACAACGCTCAAAAACAGGGGAATTCCAGACAAGAAACAATCAGAACCAACTAATCACCTCCCAACAAAGAATTCCCCCAGGCAGTAAGAAGGCAGACATTGATAACTGCTAGGCCATTAAATGCTAATCAAGGTGGCCAATTGCTTCATTCACACTACCTCCAACAGACCCTGGACATTCCACAGATATATAAACCAATTTTCCTAGTTTCCAACAGACCCCCAAACCTCTGAGGATGCCTGCCATAGATGCAGGCGAAATGTCAGGAGAGAATGCTTCTGGAACATGGCCATTCAGCCCGGAAAACACATAACAACCTAATTCCATCTCTGTTTCTGAACCTCATCTCTGATCATTTGAAACATTTTCCTTGTTAATTGTTCCATTCTTGTTAAATAATGAACTGGCTGAGAAGTCAATGGCATTGTATTTTTGCCTTAGCTACTGTCAATTCTTCACGTGTGATTTTCATATCATGCTCATGATGTAGTAGCAATGTGTTCCTGTTGAAAGCAAGTCTTTTTCTTTCTCTTCAGGTGACGGATGTGGCCATACCGTTTTAGGTCCTGAAAGTGGGACTTTTACATCCATTAATTACCCACACGCCTACCCCAACAGCACCGTTTGTGAATGGGAGATTCGAGTAAAGCCTGAGCAGAGAGTTCAGCTCAAATTTGGAGATTTTGACATTGATGATTCAGATTCTTGCCATTTTAATTATGTGAGAGTTTATAATGGAATTGGGCCCACGCGGACAGAAATAGGTAAGAACTTCTTTACTCTCTTATGCTATAAAACAGATCTTGTTCCTGGGGAGAATCACATTTTAAAAAATCCAAAATTGAGTAGCTTTTTGTGTGGATTTTGTCTTTTTGAGTCTATCATGTAAACACAAGGATTACCCAAGCTTCCATTGACCACTCATTGAATGTAGAAGGAAGTCACTGATCGATTTGCTTTCAAGTGGCTACCACCTAAACTACCAATCATGGTTATGGTAGTAATATTCTAAATATTAGGGAAGTCCTGCAACCATATCAAAGTCACAGACATTGTTTTAGCTAACTTCCTAGGGCACATACAAAAGTTATATTAAAACGACAAATATGACCACATTGATTCAAATAGTTGTTTGCCTAACCTCTTCCCCGCTCAACCATTGCTGTGTGCCATTGTTGAGATGCTATTAACAGAGAACCAGCTGATAGAGCACAATACAACCTCATCACACTCCTTTTTATTATTTATGTCCAATTTATTTATTTTTATTATTTATTTCCAATTTATTTATTTCCAATATTTCTATCCTGCCCTTCTCAACTCCCAAGGGATTAAGGAGGCGGATACTGGCTGCTGATACTATGGTTGAAATATCATCTATGGTGCTTTTCCTTCATGGCAAGAGGTTGGACTAGATGACCCATGTCGTCTCTTCCAACTCTATTATCCTATGATTCTATGAATACTTCTGTATTACCACTGACTGAACCACATACTGCTCTGAGTCCTCTTCAAGTAACCACTATCCTTCTGCATCTGGCATCCATTGAAGAGGAACAAATCTTCCCACTCATCAATTTCGGGAGTCTTCAGATCAATGGCAGATGTTTCAGGCCAGAGAACTGGCATCATTGGGAGACATCTGTTACCCAGACCCTTTCTACACTGTCATATAAAATCCAGATGCTTTGGCAGTGTAGACTCATATAATCCAGTTCAAATCAGATAATGTGGATAATCTGCTTTCATAATCTGGATTATATGGCAGTGTAGAAAGGGCCTCAGATCCTTTTTTTCTCCTCTCCTCTCTGTTTCCACCAACTTTGGCTCCACCTTTGGAGGTGGGAGATGTAATAACTTTGTTTCCTTCCAAGGTTGCTCAATCTTCTGTAGACCAGATATTTTGGCAAAGTCTTTGGGATCAAAGTGAACAAACAGGTTCCCTGATTACTGATCAGTTATTCAAAAAAAAAGAGAGAGAGATCAGTACACTGCTCTCAGCTCTCCTTCAGATAATTTAAGAGTAGTGGAACTAAGCTTGCCTCAGATCTCAGCCTCTCACCATCAAAAATTGTCTGCACAGCGCAGGAAGAACATGCTGCCTTCTTTTCATAACATTCTGCATCGAATTCTATTATTGTTTAACTGCCTCTGATTTCCGCAAACAAGGGCACCACATTTCTCTGCTGTCTCTTGATACTTGAACAATATACAATATTCAATACTATATGAAACAACAAAAGTGTTGTGGATTTCAGATTTTTTTATTATTATTTTGAAATACTTGCAAATATTATGAGATAAGTAAAAGATGGGACATGAAACTAAATGCAAAATTCATTTATACTTTATATACACTTTATACACATAACCTGAAGGTAAATTTATATATGGTATTTTAAGTATACACTGAACTATTAGGAATCCAAGGTGTCATAATTTCAGCCTCCCATGTAGACAATTTTGGATTTTGGAGTATTTTGATTTTCTTGATAGGAATAAAGGTAAAGGTTTCCCCTTGACATTAAGTCTAGTCGTGTCTGACTCTGGGGGGTAGTGTTCATCTCAATTTCGAAGCCGAAGATCTGGCATTGTCTGTAGACACCTCCAAAGTCATGTGGCCAGCATGCCTGCATGGAGCCTGGTTATGGTAATTGCAATGCTTTACCTATGCTGGAAACTGCCCTGAATCCCCTAGGGGAGACAGAGTGGTATACAGATAAAAGTTTATTATTATGATTACCTTTCCATAGAAGCAGTACCTACTGATCTACTCACATTTCGCATGCTTTCAAACTGCTAGGTTGGCAGAAGCCGGGCCTAACACTAGGAGCTTACCCTGCTCCTCAGATTCGAGCCACCAACCTTTCGGTCAGCAAGTTCAGCAGCTCAGTAATTTAACTCACTGCACCACCAGGATGCCCTTGATAGGAATAGTCAATCCAATATTCAAAGAAATAAAAAATACTGACATTCATAATTTTAGGAATATCACTTGACTTTTGCACCCTCCTAATCTGGAAAACTTTTCAAATATTGATTAATGCCTCTACCATTTGAAAGAAGAACTGTATTTTCAACCTATTTTACTATACCTGTGAATGATTGTCAAAGAAGCTGAGAAGTGTCAGGTTTAATATTCAGTAGCATTGGAGTGTGGGATGACTTCATGCCATTCCTTTGGTGATGCTTTAAAACAGGTAATTTTGATATGTGTATGTTTTTATTCTCAGGGTTGTCCTTAAATTTGGAGATGTATGTAAGGTATGTGTAAATATTAGACTTGCAAACTTGTTGATGTCAGAAATGCTAAAACAATAAACAAGTACTTGTCTTCTTTCCCAGGAAAATACTGTGGTTTAGGCTTACAGATGGACAATTTAAATGAATCAAAGAGTAATGAAGTTACAGTGCAGTTCATGAGCGGCATACACTTCAATGGGCATGGATTTCTTGCATCTTATTCAACCACTGACAAACCAGGTATTTATTATATTCAGCCAAGGAATACATAAGTAACATTATACATCTGTTTTCCCCAGTGAGACTCTCATATAGTACTGTTTCCCAGTCACCCTGATTTCAGAGAAAATATTCCTAATGAATTAGGCAAGAGCTGTGTACAGCTTTGGCATATCTGTAAGATGTGGCTGAATGAAATTAGTATTGAAATTAGTAATGAAATTTGTGAAAGATCTTGTGTGGGATTACTTTTTATTGTTGTTGGTTTTTTAAAATTCAGTATCCCAAAATATATTAAAACAGCTACAATTTTGAAGAAAAAAAACCACAAGTTCATAACAGGTCTGTGAGATGATGCAGAAAGACATTAAATGAATCTATTGAATGAATCTAGGAGACCGGGCAAAGATGGTGGACCGCAGCATCCTTTCCCAATAAGCTCTTGGAGGAGTAGTCCCCACCAGTGGATTATCACAGAGTTCAAAGATATCTTGGTCTGTTGGTGGTACAATAGAGTCTTGCTTATCCAACATAAACGGGCTGGCAGAACGTTGGATAAGCAAAAATGTTGGATGATAAAGAGGGATTTAAGAAAAGCCTATTAAAAGTCAAATTACGTTATAATATTACAAATTAAGCACCAAACATCAAGTTTTACAACAAAGTGACAGAAGAAGATGTTCAATACATGGTAACGTTATGTAGTAATTACTGTATTTACGCATTTAGCACCAAAACATCGCAATGTATTGAAACAGCTGTGGATCCAGGCAAGAGGCAGATTGTGTTGGATAATACAGAATATTGGATGAGCAAAGGTTGGATAAACGAGACTCTATTATATTCCTCTAGGCAAGGAAGAAGTGGAGGTTTTTTCCCACTGTTTCTGCCTCTGATAGCTTCCCAAGGAATTGATTTTTTGCCTTGGGAGCTAGACAATATAGGGATCAGGAAAAAAACACATCACAGTATGGCAGCTGTGTTAAACCCACAGCAAAAAGGAATGTCTTAATTGCCATTTTTAAGGAAAAAAGAAAGTTAACCTTCTGAGACCCATTCCTGGTTGTTGGATAATTTATGGATAAACTGTCGTAGTGCTCCTGCTTTAGGAAGTAACCTTTTACATTTTAACAGAAAAAGAAGCTTTTTGTGTTAAGGGATGCTTTCACATTTCAAAAGTTTGCATGTCAGTGATGAGCGAGGTTAGAGAGCCAACAATGGGCAGGGCCTTTCCCTGTCTCCCTCTTCATCCAGCAAGCTCTTGATTCTACTCATGATATGATCGGGCTGTGAAATGATGACTTGAAGAAGTCAGTTTATGGCCTTGAAGCTTTCTCACATCTGTGCAGCTAATTTAGCAACCTCATGCATCTGTATTCTTCCAACGATGACTTAACACATTGCCTAACCACATTAGATCAGTCTCTTAACTGGGAGTATGTATTTAAATATAAATGCGAAGAATTGGATTGTGCCTCCTGCCATCTGCCATCCTACCTTGCGTTAAAGCTACTTTTTAGCGTTTCCTTTTAGTTATTTTGCATGAGATCAAATTAAATATAAGTAGGTATGAGCCAGCACAATGTTGCAGTTTGAACATTGGACTACAATTCTGGAAAGGTAAAGGTAAAGGTAGTCCCCTGACATTAAGTCCAGTCATGTCTGACTCTGGGGTGTGGTGCTCATCTCCATTTCTAAGCCGAAGAGCCAGCGTTGTCCGTAGACACCTCCAAGGTCATGTGGCTGGCATGACTGCATGGAGAGCTGTTACCTTCCCGCCGGAGCGGTACCTATTGATCTACTCACATTTGCATGTTTTCGAACTGCTAGGTTGGCAGAAGCTAGGGCTGACAGCGGAAGCTCACGCCGCTCCCCGGAATCGAACCTGCGACCTTTCGATCAACAAGCTCAGCAGCTCAGTGCTTTAACCCACTGCGCCACCGGAAACCAGGGTTCAATTCTCTGCTTAGCCATGGAAAGTCATTGAGAGGCCTTGGAGGAGGCACACACTCTCAGTCCCAGAAAACCCCAAAGGGTTGCCATGTGCTTTATGTGGGGTTGCCTTTGAAGACTGTTCGGAAGCTTCAAATGGTCCAACAGGTGGCAGCCAAGTTTCTCACCGGAGAGGCATACAGGGAGCACACAACTCCCCTGTTATGCCAGCTCCACTGACTGCCAGTCTGCTACCGAGTACAATTCAATGTGCTGGCTACCATTGTGTAGTTACTGTTTCCCTAATTAATACATCATTCCATTTCACAAGATACAGAATTGTTTAATATAAATGTGGTTAGATAGTTAGAAAACAGGGAGTATCTGTAAATATTGTTAGACTTCCCAAACTTTAGCTCATGTGTGTGTTTCTAAAATAATTTAATTGTTTGCAGGGGAAAACACATTATGCTGCTGCAACAGTATTAAACCTTTGGAAGTCTGGTGTACCACTAAAACACTGAAAATTGTGATAGTTTAATTCCACTAAATATTTTTATATTATCTTACTCTAAATATGTTTTTCTTTCTAGATTTAATCACATGTTTAGACACTGCAAGTCACTTCTCTGAGCCAGAGTTCAGGTAAAAGTGGTCTTACTTTTCAATGTTATTCTAGTTACTGTATATCCTACTATTTTTTTCTCAATAGTATAGAGGTCATATGCAGAAAAACAGTGTTAATGGCCTTTGATTGCAGGGCTCTAATTATTATTTGGAAGTAAGCTTGACTTGACTAGCTTGGAAAATGTGTATTTTACTACATCATAAGCATCCTGCAGGTTTTGATTTGAGTGTTTCAAGTAGTATAAATGTTACTTGGTTTTAATAGAGCCACTTTCTCTCTCATTGAAATATATCCTCCCTTGTTCATTTCTGCAAAATTATTCCGGACCAGTGTCATGTCTGTGTTGACAGGTATTTCATATTTTGGCAAGTGGTTAAATGCCAGTAAAGGCACCAAATCAGACATCAGCTTACTGCACCCACCATATAGATGGTTTTGTTATTCAAAACAGTCTTATGTTATCTGAGGCTATATGCTTATTTTATTTTAAATCCCTCTTTATTACAGTAAATACTGTCCAGCTGGATGTGTGCTTCCTTTTGCTGAGATTTCTGGGACTGTTCCACATGGTTATAGAGATGTAAGTAGGCTGGAAATTTTAATTTGATATCTTCCTGCAGTGATTATGACATTTATTTATCTAGCTTGGACAATATTATATTGTGATGCTGCATTTAATATTTATTATTAAAATATTTATATCTTACCATATCATAAGATATGGCTGGCCTTTAGCACAGCTGGTTAATCTTCAGCAGCAATAGATCACACCAATCAAAAGGTTGGCACTTCGAAGCCCGGGTTGGGGTGAGCACCCGACCTTCAGCCCAGCTCACTGTCCACCTAAGCCACTGGTTCTCAACCTGTGGTCCCCAAGTGTTTTGGCCTACAACTCCCAGAAATCCCAGCCCGTTTACAAGCTGTTAGGACTTCTGGGAGTAGAAGGCCAAAACATCTGGGAACCCACAGGTTGAGAACCACTGATCTGAGCAGTTTGAAAACAGCTGTGAGTTGTGAGTAGAGAAATTAGGCACCGCTTAATGTGGTGAGGTATTTTATGGCACCATAAAAAGGAAATGCCAGCGATCAAAGAAAGGAGGAAGATTGTGATCAAGGGCCCTTCATCATAGAGGATGGAGCGACAGCAGCCCCTGTGAACGGAATTGAGCACAACCTCCAGGACGCCGAAGTTGATACTTCTATCTGTTGTCTGTCCTGTCAGTTTAATGGCAGTAAATGTTTGCTGTCTATGTGTTCTGCAATCCACACTGAGTCCCTTCTGGGTGAGAAGGGCAGAATATAAATGCTGTCAATAAATAAATAAATAAATAAGATCTCAGGGCAGAGTAACACACACACACATACTAAAAACTCAAAACAGTAAAAATAATTCACGCAGAGTAAAATATATTAAAGATGTTGACAAATTAAAAACAGTTATTCATTTATTTCTTATCAAAAGCATTGCATAAATTAGTATAAAACTGATAAAAATAGAAGGAGCGCAGGTGGCTCAATATCTTTTGACCAAAAACAGGCAACAGCAATGGCATTGTCTGTAGCCTCCAACAGTTCTTCCTCTGTACATGAGGCAGGGCATAGTGGACAAGCATACAGATGAGTAAATACAGTCGGGCGTCCCCCGGACAACGTTTTTTGTAAACGGCTAATCTTTCCAAACCCAAAAGCATTGCTTTTGAACATTTAGAAAACAGTTGAAAACTGTGGACATAATATTTTTAGGGTAAATAATTTAATAGAATCATAAAATTGGAAGGGACCACAAGGGCCATCCAGACCAACTCCTTGCCATGCTTACTGGATCCTAAAAGTCTAGTAAACAGTAATATTTTTAATTTGCACCTAATCTTTAGGTTTATTGAGTTTTAAAGGGGAGAAAATCCCACAACTGGGGCTCTATAGTTGAGAAGATCCCTCCTCATGTTTTCATCCAATGTATTGACCTTACTGGTAGGAGTACAGAGGAAGATCCTCACTGCATACTTGTCCTTTCATAGAGACAAAATATTGAGACTAATTTTAAATATACGAGGGTGGGTCAAAAGGTAATGCCTCAATCACTCAAACTTTTATTTATTTCACAGCTACTGGACAATCTATGCATGATATGATAGAACTACTGATACAGTCTTTTCTTTTTCTGATTGACTGATTAGAAACATGAATCTGAAGCTAAAAGAAAGTCGTCATTGAATTTCTGGCAAAAGAAGGTTGTGCACCTAAGGAAATCCATAATCACTATGATTGGACCCATCTGACTTTTACCTATTTGAATTTCTGAAATACAACCTACGTAGTTTCAGATTCAATGACTTGAATGACATTAAAAGAGCTTTAAAATCATGAAGCAAAACAATTTTCCAAAATGGTTTTGATGCCTGGGTTAAACGATGGCACACATATGTACACATTGATGGTGACTAAGTTGAACAGTAGTTTTGCATAGAGGACAGTTCAGCCTATGATCTGTAGCAACTTCTGCTGTTACATATTCATTCATAACGTTTTATGACACAGGAGTCACAACTTTTTGACCCATCTTTGTACTAGTATTACTTAAAATGCTAATATAAGTTGTGTGTTTTTGTGTTTGGTTTTCACAATTAACATTAATTAGCAGAACTATGAATTAGTGCATGACTTCAAATTCTGATCTCTCCCAAGTCATCTTCGCTTTGCATGGCTGGGGTCCATGCAGGAGTAGTGTCCAACGTTCTGGGTGGTCAGATAAACGTTGTAATCAGCAAAGGCATTCCATATTATGAGAGCTCTTTGGCCAACAATGTCACATCAAAAGTGTAAGTATATATTTTTTTCATTATTTCTCAGCATTGTTAGAATTTGACTTGCAGATATTTTTGGTTCATGATCCAAGTTAGGGAGGAGTCATGCTACCATCTTCTCTGACACATTTGGTGGAATCAAGGGGGGGAGGGACTTCTCAGTGATTGTCCCCTCCAGAGCTTCCTCATTGCTTTCCTTCCATTGGCAAATGAAAATATTTTAGGGCCACTAGGCTTTTAGAAATAGAGATAGGCTTTTAACTAAGTGCCACACAGTTTTATTGTATATATAATTTTTTAATGAATTTTCATGTGTAATGTTTTAACTTTATAAATTGAATGATAACTAGATGCATAGACACTCTTGTATAGTTTTTTAAAATACTGTATTTATTTTGTTCTACAACATATCCCCCCCCCCCCCCATATGAACACTTGTAATTCAAAGTGTGTCTTAGAATTACAGGTGTTTTTTTTAGATATACTAACTTGGGTACCTGGTGTTGCCCAGGTTATTTGAAAAAGTCAATTTTTAATTGTACAAAATGCATAAGGTTGTGGGTGAACTACAACTCACATCATGCCAGGTTAACCTCAAAAAACTCCTGTCAGTACCTAAAGTTTGTTATATTGGTGTGGTTTGGAGAAAATAGGCCTTGACATTTGGAAGTTGGTTTTTATCGGTTTCATTACTTATTGAATTTATTTATGTTAAAGGTTTTAACTGTTTTTAAATTATTGTGGGCATCGAATGGTGCCATTTTGTAAACCGTCCTGAGTCGCCCTCAAACAAATAAATAAAGTGTGAGATGAGGAGGAGCATTTAATAATTCTGTTCTTTCCATAAGACATTTTCAACAGATATAGATGAAAAATAAAAGAATTGTGAGAACTGAGATATACTAGAGATGGTTTGAAACTATTTTGAACTTTTCATAATTTGTCTTTATTTCATTGAAATTGTGGGAAAAATTAAATTTAGAATGGTAGATTTAAGTTTTTTTCTAAATAACGTAGCTTGCTTGTGTTTGAAGTCAAAGAGTTTGTCTTCTCAGAAAAGGGCAAAAATAAGCCTTAGGTTAGTTGGACAATGAAGACCAGAATTTTTTTTAATAATCCAGAAAAAATCTTGGTTTTTCTTATATTATTTTGAAATGTGACATCTTTGAGATCACCTGTATATGTAGATTGTATTAGAGATGCTCCAGTATTATGCTGGAAAAGCTAGTTTGACTGACACAACGCAGACACATTGCATCCTTGAGTAATGTTCTAACCAACCAGAGAGGATGCAAAATCAATGCAAAACATTTCATTTGTCTGATACTGAAGATGTAGTCTTGTTGTTTGTTTGTTTTTTTACACAGAGGTCCACTCTCTTCAGGTCTCTTCACTTTCAAAACTACTGGTAAGTCTTCAATTCTATATACCGTATATACTCGAGTAAAACCAATCCGAGTATAAGCCGAGTCCCCTAACTTTACCACAAAAAACTGGGAAAACGTATTGACTCAAGTATAAACCAAGGGTGGAAAATGCAGCAGCTACTGGTAAATTTCAAAATAAAAATAGATACCAATAAAATTACATTAATTGAGGGAGGCATCAGTAGGTTAAATGTTTTTGAATATTTACATAAAACTGTAATTTAAGATAAGACTGTCCAACTCTGATTAAACTATTATTTTAACTTTCAATGTAAAGGTGCTTATGTATCCTTCCAATAATAATAAAGTAAAATAGTAAATGTAATAATAATAATAATAGAGTAAAATAATGGAAATGTAATAATAACAGTAATAATAGAGTCAAGTAATAAATATAATAACAACAGTAACAGTAAAATAATAAAAATAATAGATATAATCATAATAGAGTAAAATAATGTAAATGTAATAATAATAATAATAGATTAAAATAATAACTGTAATAATAACAATAGAGTAAAATAATAAATGTAATAATAACAATAATAAAGAGAGTAAAATAATAAAAGCAATACAATAATAATGGAGTAAAATAATGTAAATGTAATAATAATAATATAATAATAATAATAATAAAAATAGAGTAAAATAATAAATGTAATAAAATCATAATAACAGAGTAAAATGATAAATATCTTTGACTTGAGTATAAGCTATGGGGGGCTTTTTCAGCCTAAAAAAGAACTGAAAGCTCAGCTTATACTCAAGTATATATGGGATTTCCCTTTCTTTTGATCTTTGATCCTATTTTCCATATTGTCATTTTCAGAGTTCTTCTAAAATTAGAATCTCAGTGCCTTTATTTTTTAAAGAAGATAGTTATTCTTTACACACTACCTTGAAACCACGTGGATTTTTTATCTTTTTACAGTAATATCCAACGTACTGCAAGTTAATGCCATTTTACATCAACATTACTGTCTCTACCTTTTCCCTAATGCAGTCATACAATCACAAGACTTTCAGAGAGATAGTATCATCTTACAAACATTTAAATACTTTTTGATTAATGAGTGCAGAGTCTCTGTTCTTGATCCTGAACCATCTTGAAGACTCAGGAGAGGTTACAGTATTAATTGTCATACCCTCTCCTTTGCCAAAGTTCAGTCATTCAGTTGTTACTTTTTATGTTTAGGTTGCTATGGAACATTAGGAATGGAGTCTGGAGTAATTGCTGATTCCCAGATTAATGCATCATCATTCCTGGAATGGCCTGAGCAAATGGGTCAGCCAAGCACCTGGAAGCCAGAAAGAGCCAGGCTGAAAAGGCCGGGACACTCCTGGGCAGCATTCACCAATGATGAATACCAGTGGCTGCAAATAGACCTAAACAAAGAACAACGAATAACAGGTAGAGACTTATAGGTCCATTATATTTTAAAGGAGGAAAAAAGTATGTACCCCTAAGAAGGGAAACTTCCGTTTGAAGAAAACTAGAGGAGATTGTTAAGTTGTGGTGGCCGTTTCCTAGCAGATTTCATTGCTGAAAGCATGTGATGAATAAGCCAAGAGGGTTGACCTTCTCTACTTAAGTAAGAAAGGACATTTAAGTAACGAAAATATTAGCTAAGAAGGCAATCCTTCTTATTTAATTTGAAAAGTCAGTTTAATAAAAAAAATAAGACTAGTAATACTTGTTCATATCAGGAAAGACTGGTTCACATCCTCTTGAGAAGTTCCTTTCCACCTGTGGATTTTCTTGATCAATTTGTATTTTCAGAACTGAACTCAACTGCCTTTTAATCTGTATTGGTCTTAAGTTGTATTATGCATCATGTGGAATCTCTCGGTAGGTGGTGAAGAGTGTTCAGGTTGAGGATTGGGATGGTGTTGTCAGAGATTCTGCTCATATTTGAATTATTGTTCTGGATGTTTCTACTTGTTGCCATGGCACAGATGCTTTGGCTCAATTTAAAGGACTGGTTTTGGCCTTCCAGCTTTTCATGGTGTCCAACCATAATACAGTAGAGTCTCACTTATCCAACCTTCTTTCATCCAATGTTCTGTATTATCCAACGCAGTCTTCCTTCCACCCAGATCCAATACATTGCCATTTTTTTTGGTTCTAAATTTGTAAATACAGTAATTGCCACATATTGTCACCATGTATTGAACTGCTTTTTCTGTCAATTCGTTGAAAAACATGTTTTCGTGCTTAATTTGTAAAATCATAATGTAATTTGATATTTAATGGGCTTTTCCTTAATCCCTTCTTATTATCCAGCATTTTTACTTATCCAATGTTCTGCCAGTCAGTTTGTGTTGAATAAGTTAGATTCTACTGTACTTGCTTTTTGCTACATGTAATGCATTCTATAGATCTGGATATAAATTTTGGAGACCCAAGGGCCTTTTCACCAATTCCAGATGGACCAGTCTGGCATGTACCCTAATACTTACTTACTTAGGCGATCCTTCATTGTCAGAGTAGGATGGCCTTCCAAGTGTAGTGTCTTGGAGGTGGATACATAGGTGACTGTAAAATCCTGTTCTTGATCTGCATGTTCTTCCACATTGAGGGCATCGGTTTCCAGGCAGAGGGCGGTCCCGGTCCAGGTTGGCTTGACACACCTTCCTCATTTAACATTTCTCCCTTTCGTCCATTCATGCCTTTTCAAATTCCACAGTGCTGCTGGTCACAGCTGACCCTCAGAGTGCTTCCCAGTTCTCGGAGTCTATGCCACAATTTTCAAGGTTGGCTTTAAGCCCATCTTTAAATCTCTTTTCCTGTCCACCAACATTCTGTTTTCCTTCTTGGTGTGACACAGTTCCATTGAGCTGACTACCATGCACACGATATTCCTTGTAGTTTTGATAGTTCTATACATGTAAAATGTTTGTGTGTTTTATTTTGTCTCTTTCTTGAATAAAAACTATAATTGTTTAAAAAAATCCTTGGTGAAGGAGCTCCCAAGTTCATCTGTGTACATGGCCAGTTAGGATGTGAAACTAGGATATACAAAGTTTCCACTGTATATGTTAATTTAAACATAGTTACTATTTTTTATCGATTCATCCAGTCTGTGGATATCCTTTTGGTAATTGAAACCCCTTTTTGTTTTAAGTGGGCAGTTTAAGTGTTAAAAGAAGACAGTTCTTGCTGTCTATTGTAACCAAGAACCTTCTTATTCATAGGTATCATTACCACAGGCTCCACCTTAGCAGAGTACCATTATTATGTCTCTGCTTATAGGATTCTTTACAGCAACGATGCACAGAAGTGGACGGTATACAGAGAACCTGGCATTGAGAGAGATAAGGTAATACTTAGGTGAACATTCTTAGAAAATGAATCTGTATTGTTTATGAAGTCTTAATTTATTAGAATGATGCTGTTCCTCATGATCCAAGAATGCATTGAAAACAAGCCACATCCATGGATAGAAAGCTTAATTTCATTATCTGTATGATTCAGATCACCTTAATTAATAGAAGATTAATTTCAACTGTACCTCAAAAAACCTGATTTGGACTTAGTTACAACTGGAATGAATTACTGCAAAGCCCTCTACATGGGGCTGCCTTTGAAGACGGTTCGGAAACTGCAATTAGTGCAAAGATCGGCAGCCGGACTGCTAACTGGGGCCAGCTATAGGAAACACATCATGCCCCTATTAAAGCAGCTCCACTGGCTGCTGATAAGTTTCCGGTCCCAATTCAAAGTGTAGGTTATTACCTACAAAGCCCTATATAGTTCGGGTCCAGACTGTCTTAGTGACCATATCCCCCCCCCCCCCAAACCTGCATGGACAACACCAGCTCTTTGGTTTAGAAATTGAGATGAGCACCAACGCCCAGAGTCGGATACAACTAGACTTAATGCCAAGGGGAAAACTTTACTCTTACCTTTACTTAAACGATATAAATGGTAAGCACTTTGTATGATGCAGATGTGGCAAGCAGTACATAAATTGTATATTATTATTATTATTATTATTATTATTATTATTATTATTATTATCTACACCAAAATTAACAGAGTAAATGTATTCTTGAGTATTAGAAGTTTAATAGAAAATTTAGTAGCAGAGTCAGAAATGAAATGGAAAGAATAGGCATTGGCTCCTCCAAAAAGCAGAGTTGTTCAATATGCTTCAGCAAACTCCAGTGGATACAAAGGGCCCACTGTATTTTCAACACAAGGAATTTTAGCGAGAGATGGAAAATTAAAAATTCCAAAAAATACTCATTTAGTACTTTTATCTTTCATCTGTGCTTCATTTGAGCACTTTAGGTCTTTTGTATAGAACAACAGAACACTTTAGGTCTTCTGTATAGAATAACCAGAATTGATATTTAAAATATCCATGATAATTTTATTTCTGTCTTAAAATGAAGGTGTAATTTTCTGAAAAAAATAGAATTACATCAAAAACGTGGCATTACGTATGCATTAATACATCTTGTCTTTGTGGATTTTTTAAAGGTATTTCAAGGCAATACTGGATATTATCAAGAAGTTCGTAATAACTTTATTCCACCCATTATTGCTCGTCTTATTAGAATAAATCCTTTAAAGTGGCACCAGAAAATTGCAATGAAAGTGGAACTGCTAGGATGTCAATTTAATATTGGTAAGTGAAATGACATTTAGCATACGAGTAGCTTTCACACAGTGAGTGCTTAAAACAACTTTAATCCTTTGGGGCATTGAAAAAAAATCCCACTTCTCTGAATAATACTAATAAACTTACTTAATTTTTAGCAGTTGGCTATCTGGTGCTCGACATTCTGTATAAGCATCTTATTTCAATGTGATACTCCTGTGTTATGAGAACAATATAGATTGTGATGGTTTTCTTAGGCAGTGGTCCATGCATTCATCCTTTATTTTCTAGCACAGTAAATCTGGGCAGCTATTTCGTGTTAAGGGAGTAAAAATAACAGAGGGACTGTTGTTATTTGAGAATAGTGTGGACCATTACACAAAGGAAGCTAGCTGCTTGCTGTTTCAACCAATGGTATGACCTCCAGATTTTGGTTTCCTTAAAGTTCGAGCTCCAAGACCTACAGTACCTCCACCAACCAGAAGCAGCAATGACTTCTCTTTGCAGACTGATAAAACAACCTTCCCTCCTAAGATCAAGAACACTACAGTAACTCCAAGTGTAACCAAAGGTATGGAATAGCATATCTGTAGTATACTGCTTATTATTGGTAAAGTTTACAACTAGTTTATGGGCATAACAGTAAATAAAGAACAACACTCAAAAACGGGGGAATTCCAGATAAGAGACAATCAGGGCCAGATAATCACCTCCCAACAAAGGATATCCCCAGACAGTAAGAAGCCAAACCTTGAAACTGCCAGGCCATTAAATGCTAATCAAGGTGGTCAATTGGAACATCAACACCTACCTCAAACAGAAAAGAGTTCTTTCTCCCACCCTGGATATATATATAAACGCAATTTTCCTCGTTTCCAACAGACCTCACAACCTTTGAGGATGCCTGCCACAAATGCAGTCAAAACGTCAGGAGAGAATGCTTCTGGAACATAGCCATACAGCCTGGAAAACTCACAACAACCCAGTTTATGGGCAATTTAAGACACCCCTGCCCTGTCCCATCAAACATTTTTTTTGTACATTGCTGTAATCTGTACATCTGTGAGTAAAAGTGGTGATGCATCAAATTAGCTTTTTTATTTAATGGATTTCAGATGTGGCATTGGTAGCTGTCTTGGTTCCTGTTTTGGTTATGGTCCTTACCACCCTCATCTTGATATTAGTTTGTGCATGGCACTGGAGAAACAGGTACGAGACTCATTCACTATTTTATTTCGCCTATAGCAGAGGTGGAGGACATGTGTCTTTTGTCCTCTGCCAATACAGTAGAGGCCACAACTCCATTAGCATTATGAAACATCACCAGTGGTATCCAACAACAGTTGGAGGGCTCCAAGTGTCCTGTTCTTATTCTAGAATAGAGTGATATAATGATGACATGGGAGAAATTACAACAGGATTCATTCCAGATGATTAATATATGCATTGCAATGAAGAAAGATTTTATGACTAAATAGTGTGACTCAGTTTATGCACTTTGTTACTTCCCACCATTTTGGGGATGCATACATATTTAAAAGGCTATGCATTTCAGCATAACCCTTACAAAAGAAGCCATTTTACAGTTTCTTCTGTGGCAGAATGGAAAACATCTTTTTACAAAGGACATTCTTATTGTTTATATCCGTTATGACCCCCTGGTGGCGCAGTGGGTTAAACTGCTGAGCTGTTAACTTGTTGACCAAAAGGTTGGTGGTTTGAATCTGGGAAGTGGGGTGAGCTCCTGCTGTTAGGCCCAGCTTCTGCCACTTAGCAGTTTGAAAACATGCAAATCTGAGTAGATCAATAGGTACCGCTTCTGCAGGAAGGTAACAGCATTCCATGCGATCATACTGGCCACATGACCTTGGAGGTGTCTACAGACAACGCCAGCTCTTTGGCTTAGAAATGAAGGTGAGCACCACCCCCCAGAATCTGACACAACTAGACTTAATGTCACGGGAAACCTTTACCTTTACCTATGTCCATTAGGGTGAAATGAACAACAAAGGGGAACTGACCTTTAGTATTCAAGTTTTGTTTTTCCCTTAAGAAAAGCTTTATACTAAAACAACAATAACAAAAGTTTTACTGGTCCTTAGACTAATATTTTCAACTTACTAATTACGTGTGTGCTCTGCATTTCACCCACTTTTTCAGAAAGAGAAAATCAGAAGGAACTTATGACATACCTTACTGGGATCGTGCAGGTAATAACTGTTACTGAATCTTTAGATGTGATATTAAGCACTGAGATGAAAATACTGTCCTGTCATTTATTTCAGCTAGCAAATTTGGGCAAGCCTTTGGTTGCTTGGCTCTCTGATTATTTGTGCTGATTTGAGGGTTCAGGTCAAGCAGTCAAAAACACAGAGAAGCCACTGAAATCCACAAGTATGTGGACAATTTCAACAGAAAGGAGGAAACCATGAAAATGAACAGAATCTGGTTATTTTAAAAAACTCTAAAGTCAGGACAGTAAATAAAGAACAACATTCCCAAACAGGGGAATTCAAGGCATGAAACAGTCAGGGTCAGCTAACACCTCCCAACAAAGAATTCCCCCAGGCAGGAAGCAGCCAGGTTTTGACGCTGAAAGGCCATTCAGTGCTAAGCAAGGTGGCCAATTGCAACATCCACACTTGCCTCAAGCAGACAAGAGTTTTTTTCTCCTATGGCCAACACATCCAGAAGGTATCACATTAAGAAATATTGTGCTAAACAGTTTAACCCTACACTTTTGCCTTTTCAATCCCCTTCCTTCTCTAAATTGACTGATTAGTATTATGTGAAATTCCATTACTACCAATTAACTATGTATGTTTTTCAGAAAAGTTTTACAAACTATAGAAATACATGTGATTGTTTTTGGACTAATTTGACTCACAATTATGCCTCTTGCAACTCACGCACAAGATTTCCTTCCATTTACTTTTTCCAAATGTTGCTACAGGTTGGTGGAAAGGAATGAAGCAATTTCTTCCTGCCAAGAGTGCAGAGCATGATGAAACACCGGTCCGCTATAGCAGCAGTGAAGTTAGTTGCCTGAGATCAAGAGAAGTCACAACCATGTTGCAAACTCAGTCTGCAGGTATTTTTGCTCTTATTTTATTCTTATTTAAGCAAGTGTAATTGCATACTAATTGCAAATCACAGAGTTGGTTGGGAGGGATAACAAAGACCACATATTCTGCCCCTTGCTATGTAAGAATAGGTAGGTAAAGCAACCCTGAAAAATGGCCATACAATCTCTGGTTAAATACCTCTAAAAAAAGAGAGAGATTTCATCACTTATTGTGGCTGTATGCTCCAATGTCAAACATATCTTATGGCCAATACATTATTTCTTTTCTTGCCATTAGGTTGGTCCTTGGTTTGTTTTCCTTTCTGGAGCAGCCAAAAATAAGCCTATATATTGTATCTCTTTCAGTTCTGAGTTATGATGGATATATAAAACAAAAAATATTAAATTTTAGGATTTTAGGATTATTCTAATTGTTATAATGAACAAGCACAAGGAACATGGCACATGCGTAATTGAATTAGAGAACAGCATTGACCTGATCCATTATTTTATGGTGTGGTATGAGTTGCATGTAAGTAATCCTAACTTGTTCATTGGGCTCCCTGGTGGCACAGTGTGTTAAACTGTTGAGCTGCTGAACTTGCTGACCAAAAGGTTGGTGGTTTGAATCTGAGGAGCGGTGTGAGCTCCCGCTATTAGCCCCTGCCAACCTAGCAGTTCAAAAATATTCAAATATGAGTAGATCAATAGGTACCACTTCTGCGGGAAGTTAATTGCGCTCCATGCAGTCATGCTGGCCACATGACCTTGGAGGTGTCTATGGACAATTCTGGCTCTTCAGCTTGAAAGTAGAGATGAGCACCATACTCCAGAGTCGGACACGACTAGACTTAATGTCAGGGGAAACCTTTACCTTTACCTTTACTTGATTACTACCATTTGCTGCACCAGCACATCTGCATTTGTAACTGATTCCAGGATCCGTCAGGTGACCATACTGGTAACATAGATATCACTAATTCAAATAAACATTGGCTGGTCAGCTTTTACAAGATCATAAACTGCATGTAACAATCTAGTAATTTTTGGGATTTGGGTTTACTGTTGTTAATTACCAAATGTTGACCACAGAAACCTATCTCTTAAACCAGACAGTGCTCAATTGAGGAGCTACAGATTGGGACCCTGGGAAATAATGACTGTAGTTCTTTCCTAGTTGCTGAACATATTGAGAGAAGCAGTAGTAAAAGGACCCAACTGCTTGTTTCAATGCATCCTGTAACCAGGAGAGTGCTGAGGTTATCATTCTCGTCTGCACCTCCTTGGAAACACTTCAGTTTGGCACTGCCGGGTTTAAGAGGTAGGTTTTGAGGGTAGCCTCAGTAGATAGAAGTAGATACGACAATAGAAGTCCCATCTTTATAGTTGTACCTGACAATGCAGGATATTTTATTTATTTACCACATTTGCACCCCGTCCTTCTCACCCCAAAGGGGACTCAAAGCAGCTTTACAACAGGCAGCAATTTGATGCCATAAACATATATGTCCATAAAATAAACAATTACAATTAAAAACCAACAGTTAAAACGTCAATTAAAATCACACCACTCAAATCATAATCCATTTGTCAATCACATTAATTCGGGGTTACTTATTGCACTGCTCCAATTACTGGTCAAAGGCTTGGTCCCCAAAGCTATGTCTTTAAGTTTTTTCCCTGAAGGTGAGGAGAGAGGGGGCTGATCTGATTCCATTGAGGAGGGAGTTCCATAGCCAAGGGGCCACTGCTGAGAAGGCCCTGTCTCTCATCCCCACCAGTCGCGCCTGCGAAGGAAGTGAGACCGAGAGCAGGGCCTCCCCAGAAGATTTTAATATCTGCAATAGTTCATAGAAAGAGATACGTTCGGACAGGTAAGCTGGGCTGGAACAGTTTAGGACTTTATAGGCTAAAGCCAGCACTTTGAATTGTCTCGGAAGCAGACTGGCAGCCTGTGAAGCTGACGTAGCAGAAGGGTTGATGACTGTATGTGCTCTTGAGAATATAGACTGGTCCCTTTATTTTCCTATTTCTGTGTGTATTTTTTATAACCAGTAAAATGGCATTTTTTTTTTTAGGAACTAGGAAAAATCTACTTGCAATTAATACAATGCAATACTAATCTCTCTTTATATAGAATACGCCCAGCCACTTGTTGGAGGAATTGTTGGCACGCTCCATCAGAGGTCAACCTTTAAACCAGAAGAAGGCAACAAAGCAAGCTATGCTGATACGGATCTCTATAACTCACCTGAACAAGAGATTTATCATGCCTATGCTGAACCGTTACCCATAAGTGGACCAGAATATGCCACCCCAATCGTAATGGATATGTCAGGGCACCCTGTAGCTCCTCCTGGTCTCTCTTCTGTATCTACTTTCAAGGCTTCAGGGAACCAAGCCCCACCCCTTGTGGGAGTTTACAACAAACTTTCCAGGGCTGATAGCTCATCCTCCACACATGTACTCTATGATACACCAAAGGGGATGCCAGGAGTCAGTTCCTCTGACGAATTGGTGTACCAGGTACCACAGAACACACAACATTCCACAGGAGAGAAAGAAGAAGTTAGTTAAAGTGACGTCCAAAAATAATCAGTCTTTTGGCTATGATGTCAGACTTTTCAAATGTTTGTTGGGGAATAAATGATACATAGGCCCAGACAAATGAGTAAATTGTCCTTTTGAGGGTCTACACACAACTACTGCTTCCTTCTTCACAAAATAATGGGCTTTCCACACACTACTGATGGGAACTGCATTCAATGCTAGACAGGCATGAGAAACTTAAAATATGCATAATCACTGAGTGTAAATATGCATGTCACTAAAGATAGAGAAGTAATCAGCTTCCATTACATACAGCCATAGTGCCAGGAAAGAAGAAGGTACTGTTCTGAACATGGAAAAAAAGAAGTCACTGATGCCTGCATGCTGCTAGTGTTTTACATTAATGGGTTAATAGACAGATCATTTAAGATTCATATTTCCATGTATAATGTAGTTCAAGTGAAATGACTGCCCTACTTTCTAAAACAATGTAGACATTTTTTTGTAATAGTTCCTAAATCCTTTGGCAGTCCCAACTAAAAATACAGCTGTTGAATTAATTGGATTTACGTATGTATTGGCTCGCCATTCAGCAATTGATTAAGCTTGTGTTTTCTAGATGGGATTAATCACAGGATTCTAGGCATATATGATAAAGATGGATATCTCAAATGGATCATACCATACTTTATGGTGGTGCTTTTTTTAAAAAATGGAGTTACCTAAAACTTTTGGTAATTATTATTTTGCCAAACACCAGTGAAGATTCTGTGCTTAATCTTGCTTTCGTTTTAATGCTGTTTTGCCTTACTTGTTTAAACACTGCGGTTCTTTTCTCCAGTTACTAAGAAGTAGGTTTCCTGAAAATGATTCAGTAAGTGACTAAGACATACTGTTCCTCCAAAACCATTTTCAGGTTTGAGCTTCAGAGCCCCAATGTGATATGAGAATAGAAATACTGATCTGCATTTTAGGACTGATGTGATATAATTCAGATATTGAAAAGGAGCCCTCTTAACTGAAAATGTAATCAGAGGTCCTGCATGGGAGTCATAGCTAGGGTTATGTAGCTATGATCTGTCACCTAACTTTTAAGGTGGGGTTTAGGGCCCATTTGCTATAGGTTCTAGGTCAATAGTTCCCAACCTTTAGGCCTCCAAATATTTTGGACTTCAGCTACCACAGTTCCTAACAGCTGGTAAGCTGGCTGGGATTTCTGGGAGTTGAAGTGTAAAACACCTGGAGGCCCAAAGGTTGGGTATTACTGGTCTAGGTAAAGGTTTCCCCTTGACATTAAGTCTAGTCATGTCCGACTCTGGGTGGTGGTGCTCATCTCCATTTCTAAGCTGAAGAGCCGGCGTTTTCCATAGACACCTCCCAGGTCATGTGACCGGCATGACTTCATGAAGCGCTGTTACCTTTCCCGCAGAAGTAGTACCTATTTATCTACTCACATTTCCATGTTTTCAAACTGCTAGGTTGGCTGAAGCTGGGGCTAACAACAGGAGCGCACCTAGTCCTGCGGATTCAAACTGCCAACCTTCCAGTCAGCAAATTCAGCAGCTTAGCGGTTTAACCCACTGTGCCACTGCGGCCCCTTATAGTGTCTAGTTCATTGTAAATATTGAACAGGATTCCAGCTATATGTAAAAAAATACACAAAAATTTCTACAATTTTCTGTAGTAGAAAACTTGAAATAGCTAAAGTAGCCTAACTGACTTTCTATGTCATTAGAAAGTGTCTGACTCTATAAAACCTCAGCACATGAATATATTGTGCGTGCATGTGGGTGTAAATCAGGGTTTCTGTACATCCACAGCCGCACAGCAGTTCCCTAATATTGTTTCGTTTATTTTTATGCCTTAAGGAAAACATGAATACATTGACAACTTAGAATATTTAGAATGTGAAATCTGGTGATTGTTTAATTTCACAATACTGGGATTTGGTGTATTGTGAGACTGTTAAAAATATATCTCAACTTTTGATTCATCCCCCCTCCAATCCTTCAAACGTTTCTGCAGCTTTTGAGTTGAGGACTCCTTGCAGAATTTTGATACTTGAAGCGGTTAGTGACTTTATGCACAATGCAAATGATTAAGAACAAAGCTAGATAACATTACAAGCCAAGCTCCATCTTGATGTTTCAATGCATATGGAGAGAGAAAAGCACATGAGAAGAAAGCACTGTAGTGGCAATGTAGAATAGATAAATGTGATATCACTCTATACACAATAGCCCAGTTTTATGGACTTTAAATGTTTATGAGTGCATAATTCAGAAAAACATGTTGTATTTTTCTTGTGGTCTGTATTCTTGAATGCACAATCTTTCAATCTAGGTTAGCTGACAAGGTTAATCATGATAATCACAACTGTTACATGCATGTACCTCCAGCAGCCAGTTTCAACAGCATAGGGTTCTGCCTTGTTCCATTTCTATTGTTTTCTTTAATTTATAATAGTGATACATAACTTATTTCTGTTTTGTAACTGCGGTACGCCAAGCTAAACATGGCCGAAGAAAACTTTCACGGTATCTGTATATATAGATTTTTATTTTATGATGTATTCTATAAATTGATCTGACTGCTATGGATAATTATTTGCCAAATTGGACTAATGACGTTCGTTATGAATATTAAGACCCTATTCCATCTGAGTCTATCCCTGTTAAAGTTTATGAGACTCACACTGGCCTATTCTTACAGACTTGCATTGTCAAAACCAAAGGCTGATATCTCATCTCAGGAGATGTAGCTACAGAGATGTAGTTGCAGTGTTCCCGTGTCAATCCTATATTTGGATCTTTGCAACTCCCCTCCCACTACAGCCATTTCCAAGGCACTGAAGAGCAGGGTGGTGAGAAGCAACATGCCATAGGGAATGCTGTGAGAGGCGGTTGCAGAGTCCACCACGAGGTCTTGTTGGGAGCTTCTTACAGCTGTTTGCCTCAGGATGCTTGCATCATGACCACTCTGCTCTCTAGCACCTCGGAAATCATTGTTGGAGTAATGGGAGGCTTTATAAGTAGGATCTGGGAGAATGTTTGGTCATTGTGATTTTTCAACCACAAACGTGAATAGAAAAATAGTATGACCCCCTTATTCAGATTTAATATCCACAGTTTCACTTAGCCATGCTCCAAAATACCCCCCCTCCCAGTGTTTGTGTGGGCCTCTAGATCCTCCAATATGATTCTATGGTAATCTTCTGATCCAAGTATGGTCATCATATGTCTCCTCTTAGCCTTCTCTTCTGTAGGCTAAACATGGCCAGCTCTCTGAGGAACAACTGAAAGAGCTGGGCATGTTTAGCCTGCAGAAGAGAAGGCTGAGAGGAGACATGATGTATAAATATGTGAGCAGAAGCCATAGGGAGGAAGGGAGCAAGCTTGTTTTCTGCTGCCATGGAGACTAGGACATAGAACAATGGCTTCAAACTACAGGAAAGGAGATTCTACCTGAAAATTAGGAAGAACTTCCTAATTGTGAGAACTGTTTAACAGTGGAACTCTCTGCACTGGAGTGTGATGGAGGCTCCTCCTTTGGATCTGAGGTTCTTTGAATGCGATTTTCCTTCTTCTTGGCCAGGGGATGAACTGGATGGCCCATGAGGTCTCTTACAACTCAGTGATTCTATGATTCTATATATAGGGTTTCATGTATTCACAGGGGGTCTTGAAACTTATTTCCCATGGATACAGACATTCTGTAATTACAATGTCCAAAGCCAGATTTATGACGTTGCGATTACTGAACATGATTTCAACCAAAGCATAGTACTAACATTTACTAATAGATTGTATAAAGTTCATGAGAGGCCTTCTCAATGATAGAGTAGATTTTGCTCTATAGTTTTCCCAACTATTTCCTAAAGAACTCAAGAGAGTAGGTCATGCATTGAGATGGTGGTACTTGTATGTCTTGTGCAGTTACCAGCCATCTCATAAGTCTCTCTTCTTAAAGGTTGGAAGTACAGTTGGATTTGATGGTGTAGGCCAATCTATATGAATTAACCATCTTTCATTCTGGTCACTTTTATTTATGAACAATATAATACACCTTCCAACACACATTCATAAGAAAAGTGTACCAGATGACAATGCATGAAATATATCCCAGCAGAACAGTGTTAGACTACAGAATTAATAGCATTAAAATGACAATCTCAGCTAATTTCCAAATGCCTGGTGGCACGCAAGTACCTTGGTTTGACAGATACTGCATATTTCCTTACAAGGGTATTCTCTGTTCAGTGTAAACACATAGTAGTTGTGTTTTTTCTTTAAAAATAGTTGGACTTAATTTTTTTATTTGAATGTTGGAGGAGTGAGGAATGGCTTTACTTGTGTGCACCATGACAAAGTCTCAGCTTTTGTGTATACAAAACAATGTTTATGCACAGGACACCACAAAACAATCATTGTAACACTGAATGTCGAGCTTGTTTCCTGGAATTATGCACACAACTATATTGGTGCAAAGTGCCTAGTTAGACGTTCAAGTCCTAATTCCACATAGTTCGGTACACACCGTCCAGCGCTCACCTAGATGTTGCAGAAAAAGCCCATCAGCACATGAAATGTTACAAGAGGATAAAACAGCTGTGCATGGAAACTTGAATGTATCCGGCATTTAAAAAGGTCAGTTAGGTGAAAACAGCCTGGCTTACTGCCCTGTATTTTAAACACTTAAGTTATTGATTCCTGAATGTACGACACACAGCACAAACAACTTTCATCTTACATGTTTTTGATTTTTGGTCCAGTGTTGGTATTGTCTCTCATAAGTTGATGCTAGGGGGTCTTTGTTATAAGTGCAGGTGGGATGGGTACAAATTACGTTGAATTGTTATTTTCCTAGAATGTTCTTTCTTACCTCAGCATGTTCTGTAGTCACTCTGTATTTGTATATGTTGCCAGAACTTAGAATATGAATAGCAATGTTTATGTATGTGTTCAAATCTTTTAAATAAAATGCACAATGTGGAAGAATACTTTGCAAAACAAGTCTCGTACAATATGCATCAGACTCTTGGCTACTACTATTATCTATTATTTCAGATAATAGCTTGCTGGTTATTTAGATAGGTATTCTGCATATTAAACAAGTTTGTTTTAGTTTTAGAAAGACTTTACGAGCATGAGAACCATCATAGAAATGTAGGTATTGATTAGCCCAACACCCCCSSCCCCCCCAATTTCTTGGTGTCTTGATTTTTTGGTGTATTCCTGGATTATTTGGGGCACCAATTCAGAAAATTGCATTGGATACAAGGCTTGTGCATTCGTATAGAATCGCTATCAGTTTCTGTTTGTTCCATTTGTAACCTCTCCCCCCCCCCACCCGCTTTTGTTTTCACTTTCGCATGCCTTCCAAAAACAGGCACCTTTCCGAATTGGCGTCTGAAAAACCAAACATTTTCGATCAATTGGCCACTATGGGTGGGCTTCCCCAGGCTCTCCTTCTCYGTTTAAGGGCTAGAGGGGTGAAAATCGCCACACACGGAGGGCACATCTACCACTTTTAGCCCACCACATTTTATAGCGTTTGGGTCATCCTCCGATTTTTAGGGATTTTTTTCTTTCTATAAATAAAATCTCATTAAAAACATTCCTCTTTCGCCCCCGCTGGCGCCGACCTCTAACTTCTCCAGGAGTAGCAGGAGGAGGAAGGCATGGCAGGGTGCCATTCCTTCCTGCCAAATGTCAAAGATGCTCCATACACTATGCACACACAGCCCAGTGCCCAGTCTTACTATTTCACTTCTTTAACTGGCATCAATGGGAAGGGGGAGAATTCCCTTCACATTCCCCTCATTTTTGGCAATGGCATGGTTTGTCCTTATGGTCTTCATTACAACCTGGATTTAAAACATCAGAGTTACTTAATGTATCACTCCTCCTGTGATTCTTTCCCCTCGGTCTGCAGAAGAGCACTGGGTTTAAAGACAGGGCTTAAGATACTACTCATGTGATGCTTTCCCCTCCGTCTGCAGAGGGGACCAGCAGAAGCAGGAGAGGCAAACTGTGTTCTCCTCCAATTGACAAGGCTCTGAGGAGAAGAGCATGCAGCAGTTCTCTGGGCCACATGACATGAAAAGCAGGAGAGGAAATGGTACATACTCCTGCTTGCTTTCGTGTCGAGCTTATTTTCGTACTGGAGGGGGTTGCTGTTTCGTGCCCCCAAAGGAAATAAAAGGAACAAAAGAACAAATAAAACAGGAGAAGTGGGTACAACACACTACTCTATTGGGTAGACAGCATCAGCTCTAGTTTATTAGATATGTAAGTTGAATGACTGGAAAGTTAGTATCATAAATCTGTGCTTTTGGTATGAAATAAGTAGATTTTCATCTAATAAAACTTTATTTTAATTTTTAATGTTTCCTTCATGTTTAAAAGATATTAATTTAAACACTACATTAAAATACCCTGATTTTATGGGTGAGCAGAGTGAAGAGTGGTAGATGGTACATATGCCATATGTTCACCCATAAAAACTAGAGCTGAGAGGACAAAACTGGTGCCATTTTGGAATCAGCAAGCCAAATATATCCAGAAACAGGTCTAATATTTGGGGCATAAAAATGTGTGTTGACCAGTGTTAGCAGACACTGATAACACTGATACAGATCTTGACCAGTCCTACCCTCACTTAGGCTGGATCTACGCTGCCCTATATTCCAGGTTCTGATCCCAGATTATCTGCTTCGAAATAAGATTATATAAATCTACACTGTCTCAATCAACTACAATTTGGGTCCCTTCCACACAGCCATATAACCAAGTATATCAGTGCAGAAAATCCCACAATATATGCTTTGAACTGGGTTATCTGAGTCCACATTGCCATTGCAAAAGCAGATAAAGTGGGATTATATACAGCTCTGTGTGGAAGGGACTGGGATAATCACAATCTGGGGTCAGATCCTGGGATATAGGGCAATGTAAATCCAGCCTTAGAGGCAGTCCAGTAAATATGAGCTATGGGAGTGACTGCAATAGAC